GAACTGGACACAGTACCCCAGATGTGGCCTCCCCAGGGCAGAGCAGAGGGGGAGGATGATCTCCCTTGACCTGCTGGCCACACTCTTCTTGATGCCCCGCAGGATGCCATTGGCCTTCTCGGCAACCGGGGCACATTGCTGGCTTGTGGGCATCCTGTTGGCCACCAGGACTCCCAGGTCCCTCTCCACAGAGCTGCTCTCCAGGAGGTCAGCCCCCATAGCTGCAAGGACATCCGTTCTCCCTTAAGGAGGTGGCCAGTGTCTTCACAGGCTTAGTGAGAACTCAGTAGCCAGCTCCAGGCTACTCTTTCATCCGTATCATGCAGGAGAAGCCACCAAAGCTCGGTGTGTGCAGAAATCCTTGTCTTTGGTGTTCTAGCCCCGGGGGACGTGGTGGCTCTGCAGCTCTCTGCCCACTGCTCCGAGCGCTGCCCGCTCTCCCCTTCCTCCTTGCTGGGCGGGAAGGACCAAGTGTCAAGTCCTAACTTCAGAGACTGGCTGCAGTCCTGCAGAGAAAATGTCAGATTTATGGGCCGATTGTTTGCATTACAAGAGAAAAGAACATTTTAAAATAGCTGCTGACCTTCCCGCCTGTCACCCTGCCTCTCAGAACCTGCTCGCTTCAAAAGAGGGGCAGGCTGCCAGGGGCAGGAGTGTAGATATTGTGCAAAGAGTGAATCATCTGGAGCCGGCGGTAAGGTTGAAGGACTGACTGTTCCTCCCTTTCCCCTCCTCCTGCCCCCCAGTGCCTTCTCCCCCCTTGCTCAGGAGCAGGTAAACAGTCAATGAGATATTTTTTTTTTCCCTCTCCTTTCCCCAGTTCATGGACTGTTTCATGATCGGCCGGGACCTCGTGCGATTGCTGCAAAACGTTGCAAGGATACCCGAGTTCGAGCAGCTCTGGAAGGACATCATCCACAACCCGCAGGTCCTCAGCGCCCAGTTCACAGGTAGGCAGGGACGGGGGCCGAAGGGATGGCCACCTCCATCCCGCCCTGCCCACACGCAGGGGACAACCTCTACTGGGGCCCCGCTAGCCACAGGCAACCCCCTCCTGCCTTCGCACGCCCTTGCAGCAAGGCTTCCGTGACTGTCAGCCCATCCCAGGGGGAGTTGGAGCAAAAAATCCCACACAGCGGCTGTTTTTCACTCTGCACACCCCGTCTGGTCCAGGTCTCAGGACTGTGCTGGAGCGGACAGGCTCTGTTACAGAGCAAAACACATCGGGTGTGTGAATTCCTTCCGGATGCTCTCTTAGAGGAGAGTACACAGAGAGCGCTGTAATTATACCGTGTCATCCCATCTCCATCAGCTGTGGCTGTTTCCAGAGCCCCTCTCATCACTAATTAGAAGAAGATGCCTCCAAAAGCAGCTTTTTGCCGACTGAGGGGAGCTTAGGAATAGGGGCAGGGCCTGGACCGGTCTCCCGTGGTCAGCTTTTTGCTCCATTGGTGGCTTTTGCCATTTTTTAAAACGCTGCGGAGACCTTGTAGGCATCTGGGCTTTAAACCATCCTGAAAAACAGCTACGTGAAGGAGCTGTAATGACAGATCACGAGAAGGCGGCTGGGCCACGACGAGGGTCGTGAAATTGTATTGCTTGTTCTGGACTTAACACTTCCATAATTGTAGTTGTTGCTTTTTTTTTTTAAGCAAGCTGAGATGAAGTTGGAGCCCAAAGGTAGGAAGTGTCTGAGTCCTTCAGACTCTCCCGAAAAGAGCCCGCTGAAGCTCCATAGCTCTAAAGCAAGAAGTCCAGAAAATGCAGCAACTGACACTTTTTAAATGGGATTTTATTTCTCCCAGTAGCTTTGCACGCGTGGTGTGCCGAACACTCAGCCGTGGAGCTCTCTGCGCAGTCTGGGTCAAAATAGACATGATGGAGAGAGTGTTATATTTATAATTTTTATTGGTATAAATTATTCACTTCTCTAGGGGCTGTCACATCATTATCTGTCTGCAGCAATTCTAATGAGTCTTTGGAAATGGGGCTTTAAAGTGTTCTTCCCCCCGCCCCCAGTGCCTGTTCTCGTCTCAGGGGCCGTGTTAATGTCACTTTAAAGATCTCAGATTATGCTCAGGGAAGCTGGCGGCACGTCATTTGATTAAATGCTCCTTAAGCTCTGTGATCTCTGGCTTTTTCGTCAGCTCCAGAACCTGTCTCCTGTCACTGCTGGTCTCTGCTGAGACTTGCCAGCTGAAGGGTTGCAGGGATGCGGTTCCCCTCCCCTGCGGGGCTTGCGGAGGCAGAGGAGTCTTAGCCCTACACCCAAGGAAGGCTCACGTTTCACATTTCCAGGGCTCAGCCCTGCCTCTTCCTGCAGCTGTACGTTCGCTAGAAGCATTTCTTAGCTCCGTCTGGATCTTCCCAGCGGAGCGCTGAGCTTTCGCCTCCTCTCTTGGAGTGGTCCTGGGGCACCTAACAAACATCGCTTCGTCTTCACTGGCTTCTCACGCCAGTAGAGGCAGTTGGTCATGGTTTGCTGTCAGTTTTAGCCAAATGACCCATCAAAACGATACCTAAATTCAGGCTAACATCAGCGCTCCTGACTCATTCTCTTCTGACAACTAGCAAACTCGCCTTTGGTTTCTTTTTAATTCTGTTTGACACCGCAACCAGTGGCCCGATGGTTTTTTTTTGGTTTTTTTTTTTAGAGGTGAGATGACGCCTGGGTCAGTGCAGGCACACACACGAGCGTGTTTCTCTTTGCCCTTTCGGCTGCAAAGCGCTGGAGCAGGCAGAGTTCACGCGCATCCCCAGGGCAGCCCTCGGGGCGGCAGGGAGAGGTGGGCTGTGTCTGGAGCCCGTCTGGGCTTGTCACTCCTCCCTGTCCCCCGCAGTTGGCTCTGGGGGCAGGATGGGAGGACTCTGAGCAGAAGGTCTATCAAATTTAGATTAGATATTAGGAAGAAATTGTTTACTCTGGTGGCGGTGAGCCCCTGGGGCAGGTTGCCCCGAGAAGCTGTGGCTGCCCCATCCCTGGAGGTGGTCAAGGCCAGGTTGGACGGGGCTTGGGGCAACCTGGGCTGGGGGGAGGTGGTCCAGCTCTTGGCAGGGGGTTGGAACTAGATCTTTAAGGTCCCTTCCAACTCTAACCATCCTGTGATTCTATAATAAGCTGATCTGTCCCGGGGTGCCCTCATTCATACTTGCTTATGTGGAGCCTGGAAGGTCCCCTCCCCAAAATAATTGCCCCTGCAGTTGGTCATAAGACTACTTCTTTGCCCTCTTTCCTGCTGTTGAGAGCCTGTAATAATTGCTCTGCAAGGTGGCTATTATCTCTAGCAGCTTCCGGGCCGCGTGCTCTCGGGTTTGTATCGCTCTCTACCCTCCCATCCGAGTCAGTCTTGCTGAACTCCCGCAACCGGGGCCAGAGCTCAGCAGCACCGAAAATGAGAGAAAACTGCAGCGGGGAGCGGTGGCTCCGGGTGCAGGACCCGTCCCTCCCTCTGAGCAGCTGGGAGCTCTTAACAAGCGAGGTGCTTTTGTGGCTCTCTTCCCCTGATGCTCGCTCCGCGCTTTCTCTGAGCTCGGCGGGGAGCTGGCATCTGTTCTTTCTGCTTTGAAGCTTCCCTCCTCCGGCCCTCCCCCAGGTGTGACCCTCCGGCTGCGCGGCAGAAGGACGGCTTCCAAACGGGCGAGAGAGAGCGAAAGCGCACCTCGTGCACGCCACGTCCCTGGCGCCTGCCCGTCTGCGTCAGAGCTGGCTGCCCTGTAAATCCTTCAGGTCTTGTCGAGCAGCAGCAAAGCCTCTCCGCTCCGGTCGTAAATTCCTCCTCTTTGCAGCGGTCTGGGAAGAAGAGCGGCTTTTCCAACCTCCTGTTCTCCGTTCTCTACACGCGTGTGCACAAAGTCTTCTGTTATATCTGATTTTTGTTGTTACATCGAAGTACCTTTACTCCAGGGGAGGAATCGGACGTACATGCTGGCACAGCCCCAGATGAGCGCTCTTTATGCCAGCCCCGCTTTTGGTGCCCAGGCCGAGTGGTCTGTCCGAAACCATCAGCTGTGGTGGGACAAGTGGTTTCACTGGTGCAGGGACAAGTCTAAGATCGTCTTTGTGCTCCCTCACAAGGGGGTGGGAGATGGGGAACGTGCTCTGTTGGTTATGGCTTCAGATTTGGTGTCTGGACACTCGTTTCTCCTCCAGCTCTTGTCCCTGCCCTGCTGTGCATCCTCTCTCCCGTTTTCCAGACTCTTCTTCCTGGCATCCTCGTTAATGGTCTCTGACAAAAGCTTGCTCCAGACAGGAGATGTTTTAGGAGACCTTTTCCAGCCAAAAATCTTGATCCCTTTCCACTGCCTGTAGCCTTGGGGAAATGGAGCTTAACACTCCGAACTCGGCTCGCTGCGGATCTTGGTAGATCCCTGCCCGAATCCTGATCGTGCCACGCCGTCCGTGGGGCCGTGCGAGCGCAGACCGACCTCTCTGTCTCTCCCCAGGTGTCCTGCAGCTCCTCCAGTCGAGGACTTCTCGCAAATTCCTGGCGTGTCGCCTCACTCCCGACATGGAAACCAAACTGCTCTTCATGACCTCACGGGTAAATTCTCTCATGTTCGCTGGGGATCCTGTGCCAGCGCCGGGGGGAGGAGGGCACACGTCCCTGCCCGCTCCACCGTGCACCGGTCCCGTTCCCACGCTGGCACTGGGCACGGGGAGGGGAGGGCAGAGCATTACTGGTGCGAGTATTTGTTGCTTCTGGCATCTAATGGCGACAGGAGGGGGAGAGGCTGCCCAGCAGGAGCTGATGTAGATGGGCCTGAGACATCCTCGGTATTTATTAAAAGGCACAAAACAGCTTTGCAAGGGAACATCGCTCCTGGCTGGCCGCTTTCCAAGGCAAGCGCTTTCTCTGAACGGCCGCGATGCGGTGGGTTATCGGACCTCCGACGCAACAGCAGCTGTATTCGAGAGAGGCCGGGAGCTGCGCCGCGACGGCACCGGGGGTTAACTGTTATCTGTATTCGCACACCAGGCAAAGCTGGCTTCCCCCTCGCTCTGCCTCCGGCCCGGCCGCTGCGCTCGCTGGCTGGGGCTGCTCGCAGGGGGCTGTGCTGCGCCGCGCACGCGGGGCGTGTGGTCCCCGTCCGCTCCGCTGGAGACAGGCCCTGCGTGAGAACGCCGCAACAATGGCCTTTTTGATTCTTCGGTCTCTCTGAAGATGCCGCCAGCAACAGGGCTGAGCGGGGAGCAGGGCGTGAAGCAGAGTTTGCCGAAAGAGGCAGCTTAGAGGATGGCAGCCTGTGTTTTTTAGCAGCCTTTCCCCGAGCCTTGAGCAAAACCTGTGTCTTTCCCTTTCCCTTCAGGTCCGGTTCGGCCAGCAGAAGCGGTACCAGGACTGGTTTCAGCGGCAGTACCTGTCCACCCCGGACAGCCAGTCCCTGCGCTGCGACCTCATACGCTACATCTGTGGTGTGGTCCACCCTTCCAACGAGGTGCTCAGCTCCGACATCCTCCCGCGTTGGGCCATCATCGGGTGGCTGCTCACCACCTGCACGGTGAGTTGCGAGGGCCGGACCCGAAACCGAGTCACGTAATCGCTTGGGATCCCTTCCCGTGCAGGGAAGGGGGTAACCTGCTGATGCTGGAAGCCACTGGAGAGGTTGGGAATGGGTATTTGCTGGCTGGGCTGAAGGAGAGAGTTGCGGAGCAGCAGTTAGGACGTTGGCCTTTGTTCTGTGCTCTGCATTTTAGTCCTGGCTCTGCTGTACGTTGGATCCTTTGGGAATCTGCTTTCCCTGCATAAACCTCACCTTCTCACGTTCAGCTTGTCAAGCCCTTTGGTTTTGATTTATGTTTACGGCCCGTCTGCAAGGCGTAGGGCCTCCGGTGGGGTGCGAGAGCGCATGCAACAAGATGCCTCGTTACAGCCTCGTTGGCTTCCACTCCCTCCGCCCGGACTGTCGTCCCTTGTCCCACCCAGGACCGCGATCCCCAGCGCTTGTCAAAGAGAGCAGAAGGAAACGGCTGTTGCTGTGCCCACGAATGTATAACAGATAACGCCAAGGGATACGCAGGGCCCAATTATACACGGTTCGGGGTTGTAGCCACGTGGCTTGTATCTCCCAGCCTTGGCCTCTGCCCCTCTGCGTGCTGCCCTGGCTGGATCTGCTTTCAAAGCAGGCAGGTTTGCTCAAGAAATTCCCACCCTCTCTCTCTGAAAACTCACTCTTGTGCGGCAGCAGGAGGTACCTGGGGGGGGAATTTCACCAGCTCTGCCCTGTCCTGCTGGTGGGAAGAGCATCGCAGTCTCACGGTGGCAGAGCCCGGCACGTCGGGCGTGCAGAGGGGATGGGGGCTCAGCACTGTATTCATCAGACAATTTATTTGGGGTTTTTTTGTCTTCTCTAGTCCAACGTTGCTGCTTCAAATGCCAAACTGGCCCTGTTCTATGACTGGCTCTTCTTCAACCCCGAGAAGGACAGCATCATGAATATAGGTACTCCACGGGGAGGCTCTGTCTGAGTGGGCAATGGTCGAAGATGGAGTTAATGCCTTCCAGAGCTGGTACAGGTTAGGGGGATCTGGCTGGGAAAGCCCAGCTCTGGAGCCCCAACACAGGAGAGACATGGAGCTGGTGGAGCGGGGCCAGAGGAGGCCCCGGAGATGCTGGGAGGGCTGGAGCCCCTCTGCTGGGAGGACAGGCTGGGAGAGTTGGGGGGGTTCAGCCTGGAGAAGAGAAGGCCAAAAAGGGGAGAGCTCAGAGCCCCTTCCAGTGCCTAAAGGGGCTCCAGGAGAGCTGGGGGGGGACTCTGGATCAGGGAGGGGAGCGATGGGATGAGGGGGAACGCTTTGACACTGACAGAGGGGAGATTGAGGTGAGATCTGGGGAAGAAATTGTTGGCTGTGCGGGTGGTGATCCCCTGGGGCAGGTTGCCCCGAGAAGCTGTGGCTGCCCCATCCCTGGAGGTGTTCAAGGCCAGGTTGGACGGGGCTTGGGGCAACCTGGGCTGGGGGGAGGTGGCCCTGCCCAGGGCAGGGGGGTGGAATGAGGTGATCTTCAAGGTCCCTTCCCACCCAAACCATTCTGTGATTATCTCCAAAGGCCATCAGTTCCCTCCCCTGCCCTGAACTCTTGAGATTTGCTGGCTTGCAGGAGAGCTGCTTTGATGGAACCACTTTTAATTGTGGTTTTTCTATCTGTGGTAAGCAGCAAGCGTCTTCCTTGAGGTCAGTGGCTGTCCCCAAAGCGTCCTTCCCTGCGGGCAGGCGGGTTTCCCAACTGTGGGGCTGTCCCAGGGCTCAGGACACGTGAGCGAGGACTGATACAGCCAGGGACATTGCTGGGACCTCCTGCCCGCAGGGACGTTGATTCTTGCCGTCGTTTGAAGCCTAAGTGTTATTTAGGAGCTGGATGAGGGCAACAGTGTGTACAAGCCAAAAGAAGGGGGGTTCCCCTCTGCGCCCCAAGGCTGGGTCTGCAGGAACAGGGGGGGCACAGGGGGTACGGACATCTCTGGGGCTCTCAGCACAGGACTCTCTTCTCTCTCCTTCCAGAGCCTGCCATTCTGGTGATGCATCACTCCATGAAGCCTCACCCTGCCATCACTGCCACGCTGCTGGATTTCATGTGCCGGGTGAGCTGCCCCTCTCCCTCCGGGGAATTACCTCTGGCTTGCCGAAAAATGAGTTGCGTGACGGGGGCTGAGTGATTGAGGGCTGTGAAAGCAACCGCTGGGGTCCGTGCCATCCCTCTGCCACCAACAGGATGGAGAAACTCCTCAGGAGTGTCAACAGAGGACAGCGTAGAGGGAAACAGCCGCGCTCTCATCTGCGTACACCGGCCAGCTGTGCGGAGGTCACGCTCTGAAGAGAGCCGGTCGCTGTGTCAGCCTCGGGGGCTTGTTTTAGCCCTGTACGCTTGTCCGTAGTGCAGAGGAGTGGAAGCGCGCTGGCTGGGACGTGCCCCCTTAGGAATTTGGAGATTGCAGCCGGGTCCTTCGGCCATGCTCTCCTCCGAGCGCTCCCCACCGCATGTTGGTGTAGGTCAGGGCTTTTCCTCCTCTGCCAAGACAGAAGCTGGGAGCGGTCAAGTGGTGAGCTGCGCAGCCTGCTCCCTGCCGACTGCGCCGAGCCGTCGTGGAGGGCGGGAATGGTAATGCGGGACTCGGGCAAGGCAGATGTCTTCACTCCCCAGGGAATTTCGCAGCAAAGGCCTGTTGCTGTTCCATCCTGCAGGAAGGGAATTTCATGAATCTCTAGAGACGGTGATACCGGAGCAGCAAAATAAGTGTCATCTCGCTGCCCATTCTTCAGAGCCAAAAAAAAAAAACAAAAACCCAAACCAAAACTAAAACAAGCTGTTTCCCCTTCTTGTTTTTTTTTTTTGCCCTCGCATTCCTCAGTGCATCGTCTGGTCTGGTCTGCCCTGAGCCTCGTGATTGCGAAATGGCTCGCAGGGTAGCTCCGTATCTGCTGGCAGCCCTTTTAACCTCCCCTCACCTATGCTAAATTAAGGAGGGATTTTCCCCTTGCTGATCTGCCAAGAGCACAGTCAGGCACGCTGCTGCAGATGCTCAGCCAAATTATTCACCTCTTAAAACCAACCACCAGAGGCTTTGGTGAGTCCTCGCGGTCTCTTGATGAATCCAGGGCCGGTTAGGTCAGAGCATTGGGCTCGTGTGTCATTCATTAATTGGGAATGCCACTTCTTCCCAACTCTGGAAAGAAATCTTTCCAGAATGATGAGCGTTAGTAGGAAAAAGGCTTCTGAATTGTTCCCTGAATTGTTCCCTAATGAAATACTTGGCCCGGTGTCATTCCCTGAGGGCAAACAGGATCTCACTGTAGCGGGGAACAAGGAGGAACAAGTCAGTCCCATCGTCTCCCTTTCAAAGGACAGCCCTCCTCAGCAGGGAGCAGAGCTGGTCCTGCCCCTGCATCCTGGGAGAAGCGATGCCAAGAGTTGTCTGTTCCAGTAATTTGGTCCTCGGGAGGGGCCGATGGTGTTTCTTGGAAGCGGGGTCTTTCCGTGGCATGAGCGCTGGAAGAGCTGCAAGTCACATCACTTTCCTCCCTCGCGCCTGGCGCTCTCTGTGTGCTCCCGACCGTACGCTGCCCCAGTCCAAAAGCAGCTGCCGGCTTCTGGCAGAGGAACTGGGTGGAAGGTTCCCCGGGATGACCCAGATTTCAGGGAGGAGACCTCTTACTCCCTCCAGAAGCAGAGGATTGTGTGTGGGTAGAGCTGAATGTCGTTTAGGGCGCCCTTCTCGTATTCTCCCAGCTCCTGCAGCGGTCACTCCGGCTCGGAGAGCGGCCCTGGCAAATCCTGGGGCTTCTCACGGCTCACGAGGCAGCATCTTGTGTGGTTTTCCCATCCCTGGGAGACGCACCGGCTGGCTCTCCAGGGTAGAAAACCCAGAGGCATGGACAGGTTCCCCTTCTGTCCACCATCCCCAAGATGCTCCACTCGCAGAGCTCTCCTGCTGTCCCTCTTGGTCAAGAGCAGCTGGGCTGGGGTGCTTGAGTCAAAGGTGATCCAAAAAGCTGACCAATGGCCTTAGCTAGTCCTGGCCGACGCAGACCTGATGGTAGGCAGAAGGTTTCATGGCACTAACGCGGTCGTTTCCTCCTGTTTTCAGATCATTCCCAACTTCTACCCCCCGCTGGAGGCTCACGTCCGGCAAGGCGTGTTCAACTCTCTCACCCACATTGTGGAGAAGCGAGTCCTTGCGTAAGACAGCCCTGAATTTTACTACTTTTATACAGCTGCTGCGCACCGGTTTTCCTGGGTCCCACCAGCCTGGTCGAAACCACCTCCAAGCTCTCTAAGGGCTGCGGAGGGCATTTGGGTTGTGTATGAACCATGGAAGAAGCCGTAGTTGTGTCTTTACGGCGCTGAGGTTTGAGCTGAGAGCTGTTCCTTGAAGCGAGGGAATGGGTGGGTTAAGAAAGCGATAGCCGCTCCGCTTCGGATGAATAGAAACGTCCCCGAGCTGAACGGAGCGACCTCGCTCGTGGTGCTCCAGCCTACAGACAGCTCCTGCGTCAGCCGAGTTCCCCTTCCAGGAGGTAAAACCCCTTCTCCCCTTCCCACGTGCCTTCTGTGGGGACAAAGTGAGGGAACCCCAGCTGGGCTGCAGGAATGAAGGTGACATCTCGTAGCTTGTGGTCCGTAACACCAAACAAAGCCCTGACGGGAGGGAGGAGATCCCCTTGCACATCCGCCGAGGTGAAGCACCGCAGCAGGGCGCCGCATCCCGGCTCTTTCTCATCCCTTTCCCTTCCTACCCTCCCCAACGCAGACATCTGGCCCCTCTCTTCGACAACCCCAAGTTGGACAAAGAGCTCCGCGCCATGCTGAGGGAGAAATTCCCAGAGTTTTGCAGTTCGCCCTCGCCCCCCATCGAAGGTAGGGAGCGGGACGGGTGGCGGAGGGAGGCTGCTGCAGGTGCTGCCTTCCCCAGGGACAAGGACGGGGCTTTTCCCGGCTCTTCTGCAGGAATAGGAGCCGTTCGGAGGGTCGGAGCGGGACTCTGGGGAGAGGAGGGCTCTGAGTGCTGGTATTTATGGATGGTTGTGGTCTTCCTTCATCTCAGCCCTGCTCTACGCTAAAGATGCACAGTTCCCTTTTCTCTGCTCCGTAGGGGCTACTTAACCTTTCTTCTAATTGATTAACGTAATTAGGTTAAACAAAGAGCAAGCGTTTCAAACCTGTATTTAACCGGAGAGCGCTGCTGCTCTGCCAGAGCTGCCGAAAGAACTGTTCCCGTCAGCCTGTCTGGTTTTCCTGTTGCATCAACCGTTTGGGCTGAAGGGACCCACGTGCCCCAAACTTCTCAGCCCGGTGGGGCTGGCGAAGCTGTCGCTCCGCTCAGAGAGTCGGGCTCTGCTTTCGGCCTCGGGAGGGGACGAAGCACAAAGCTGCCTTAGGTGGAGATTGACCCGGTTCTGCCACACTTGGCACCGAGTAGGAATAGTTCAATGGAGTCACTGGAAGTGCCCTTCCCTAGCGTGAGTTTTCCAGGGTCCATCACTTGCACAGACTTTTTTTTCCACCTTTTCAAAGCACTTTTATCTCCTTGCCGGAGCGTGTTTATGGGTGGAGGTGACTTGTGGGCAGAGCCTGCCCTGCCACTCGGCCACGCGAGGCACTGTCCTCACCTCGCTTTCTGCTCTGACCCCTTTTGCCTCCGCTCTTGCAGTCAAGATTGAAGAACCCGTTTCCATGGAGATGGACAATCACATGGCAGAGAAGGATGACAGTTGCTATGACAACGCCGAGGCAGCGTTCAGTGATGATGAAGACGACTTGAACAACAAAGGTGAGGAGGGCGGTCAGCTGAGCGCCAGTGCTCTCCAGTACTCCTGCGTCGCAGCAGTGCCAATAGCCATCCTTCACCTCTGCGCCGGCCGGTGTCATGTGGGCACCTTCCCTTTGTCATGGAGGATTCCCAGACAACCACCTGTAAGCACAGTTCCCTCAAAGTCCCCTTCCCACCGGCAATGGGAATTGCTGCCAGCAATGTGTCCCGGTGGCCGAGAAGGCCAATGGCATCCTGTGGGGCATCAAGAAAAATGTGGCCAGCAGGTCAAGGGAGATCATCCTCCCCCTCTGCTCTGCCCTGGGGAGGCCACATCTGGGGTACTGTGTCCAGTTCGGGGCTCCCCAGTTCAAAAAGGACAGGGAACTGCTGAAGAGGGCACAGCAAAGGGTCAGGAAGGTGATGAGGGGACGGGAGCATCTTTCTTACGAGGAGAGGCTGAGGGACGTGGGGCTGTTCAGTCTGGAGGAGAGAAGACTGAGGGGGATCTCATCAATGCTGATAAATCCTTCAAGGGAGGTGCCGGGGGGATGGGAACAGTCTGTTTCCAGCGGTGCCCAGTGACAGGACAAGAGGCAACGGGCACAAACGTGACCATGGGCAGTTCCATCTCCACCTGAGGAGGGCCTTCTCTGCTGTGAGGGCGGCAGAGCAGTGGCACAGGCTGCCCAGAGAGGTGGGGGAGCCTCCCCCTCTGGAGCCATCCCAAACCCGCCTGGACGCCGTCCTGTGCCACTGCTGGAGGTGCCCCTGCTCTGGCGGGGGGTTGGGATGGGGGAGCTCCAGAGGGCCCTTCCCACCCCCACCAAAGGGACCTCTAGAGGCAGACCCCCTTCTCGAGATCCAGATTTCCTTCTGCAAAGAGAGGGTGTTGAGGCCGATGCTCTGCTGCTTCCCAGTCCCTGATGGACTCGGTAGACCTCATACAGACCTGTGCTCAAAGGAAAAGGCCGTTGGGCTTCGTGTCCGTGCCTGCTTGTTCCCCAGAGCTTAGACCCTTCGAACGGAGCGCTTTCTCCACCCGCGTGTCCTCTCTAGACGTCTGACTGGTCTCGAGCCCCGCTGCACTGCGCGGTTGGGAATCCCTCTGTGGCAGATGCTGTGCCGGATGGTTTGTTTGGGAACAGGGTGTCTCTGTTCTCAAGCAGCTGTTAATGAGGCTCAGGCCTCTAATTGCTCAGCCGCACGGTTTTCATTACACTCGCTCCCTCTCAAAGCCGTGGGGCTGACAAGCCCTGCGCGAGGCCAGAATCCCCTCCGCTCGTTCACTGGAGCTGGAAGGCATCTCAAGCTGTTCCTGGCCTTGGTGGCAGGACTCTTGTGGGCTTTCTGCCATGCTGGAGGACTACCCCTGCGCTGGGGAGGGACCGCAGGCCCAGGATGGGGGAGAGAGGATGTGACACTGTGCCGTAGCGCTGTCTTCAATCCTCCCCTCGAACCCCGCCAGCTGCTTGGGGCCCCGGAGAGGGACACAGGCTCGAAAGCCATGTGCAAAGAGGATTTTTGCAGCCACCTTGTCCCGTCCCTTAGTGGCTGCTTCTTTGTGAGCACTTCTGCCTTGGCCGTGGCGCTTCTGGACTGGGCTGCGGTTCATTTTTGTGGCCTGGAATGAGCCTGGAGGATGAGGGTGTGGAAAAGCCATTGGGGTATCTCAGTCCCAGAGTCCCGAACACAAGCGTTCGCGTCTCGGGTGGAGAGAGACTTGCGAGCTAGCTACGTTTGTTGAGCGTGTTGAAGGACGGGCAAAGCGTCAGGTTTGGAAACCGGACTGAATCACAGAATTTTCAGAGTTGGAAGGGACCTCTAGAGATCATCTAGTCCCACTCCCCTGCTAAAGCAGGATTGCCCAGAGCACATCACTCAGGACTGCATCCAGGCGGGTTTTGAAAATCTCCGGAGAAGGGGACTCCACCCCCTCCCTGGGCAGCCTGTGCCACTGCTCAAGGGGAACCACAATTCTGGACACCCCCTGCGTTTGGATCCCGTCCCACCTTCCCGCTCGCTGTGACCTGGACACGTCTCTAAAGGCCGAAGACAAGATCTGAGGCTGGACCGCACTCTGGGGACAGCGCTGCTTGTCCTGGGTTGGCCACCACCCCCGCAGCCCCACACAACTCCCACTGCCAGGACAGAGATTGCCTCCAGTACTTCTTAGACGTAGCTGCTGGGGAAAATAGATTATTCCACTGTTGCGTTCTTTGTTGCAGGGAAGAAGAGGGAGTTCAGGTTTCATCCGATCAAAGAAACCATTGTGGAGGAGCCTGTTGATATCACGCCGTTCCTGGACCAGCTGGATGAGTCACTGAAGGATAAAGTCCTGCAGCTGCAGAAGGGAAGGTTGGTATCCGTTGGTCGTGGTACGTTTTGTGTTGATCTCGTCAGGGCAACGACACAGGAGACCTTTTAGCCCTGTTGTGCAATGCTGCTTGCTCCAGAGCCCTTCTCTCAGAGCTAATGCAATCCTGTGGCTTGTCTGCCTTTAACACGGAGCGGTCCTCCTTGCCCACTTTCTGCAGGAAATGTCCAGGTGGTTTTGAAAGGTGCTGGGTTAAAAGCCTTGTAATTTGTCCTTGGAGCAGGCTCAGAGCGGGTAACAGCAGCAATTTGCTGGGAGCTACAGCGTTTCTCCGAAACGGTGACGGGAAGGCAAAAGGCTCTGAGTTTCACCTTTCTCCGCTGTTGGATTGATGAGAGGGGGCTGCGTAGGCCTTTGGGGGTTTCAGTACATCTTGCCCCTGAACGGAGATGTACCTGTGTCTGCGTGTTCTCTGGACTTCCCCACCTCCACTCTTGATTTTCAGTGACCTTGGAATTAATTCCATCTAAAGGCAGCTAAAAAAAAAAAAAAAAAAAAGCTCTTGCTTCTCAGACCTTGGCGTAGTCGACTGATTTAACGTAATTTATGTCTGTACGGCTTTAAGTGCATTTAATCTCATGCTTTTAGTCATTTAATTTGTTTGTCTCGCTGCAGACAACCTCGGGCGCTTTTGTAAGTAGGTGCTGCAGCCCTGCAGCGCGTTCTTCTGGGGTTGGGTCTCTGCGGCGTGCGCTTTTGAGCCCTGCCTTCCTCTAAGCCTGGCACCAGCGCTAAGCAGAGCCTCCCCCTGCCCCGGGGTCCTGGGGGGATGCTCCCGAGCGTAGCCAGCTCAGCACAAAAAAAACCCAAAACCTTGTCCCTGCTTTCGGTATCTTCCTATGTAACTTGGATTTCCTCTTGTTTTTGTGCTCCAGTGATACGGAAGCTCAGTGTGAGGTCATGCAGGAAATCGTGGATCAAGTCCTGGAGGTAACGGCACAGCCGCGGGGAGCAGCGCCGCTGCCTAACTGTAAAACCAGAGCAGCTGGAGTGGCGTGGGCTGGGCAGCTCTGCCCCAAAACCTGCGCTTGAAGGAGGGACACACAAACCTGCGGACTCGCGAATCCTAAACGAGTTCAAAATGGCACTACGCAGCTCTGTCCGGGGTTAAACACAGCCACGATCTTCTAGCAGGAGAGAATGGCTCCGTCCGGGCTCTGTTTTCTTATGCACCGTGCCTAAATGTCCCCAGTAGTTGCTGTCAGACAGGACGCTGGGTGAGGCGCGTTCCTATTTTGACCCCGCGCCGCTGCTATAGCGTCCGCAGAGTTCCCGGGGGGCTTCTGCGTGTGCCGTGCGTGTGGGATGCTGCCTCGCTTTTGGCCCTGGGCTGTGTGCTGAGGGGAGGCTGCAGCAAACCCTGCCCGGCAGAAGAGCTGCGGATGTTTTCCAGGCGCTGAGCGTTGGAGGGAGGCTGCATCCCCCTGCCTCTAATCAGCTCCCTTTAGAGTCAAGTGGCCTTTTAGCATATGAGAGCTGCTTCTCCTCTCGGTGGGAACGCCGGGAAAGGGCTTGTGAGGGTGTAAATCCTCGTTGCCGAGTGCCTTCGGTCCCTGTTAGCCCTTTGCAGAGGGAGAGCAGAGCTCAGTGAATTACTGGCCATTAGAGGATAAGTGGACCACAGTGATTGTGAAGTGCTTCAGAGCCGGACATCAATTAGGGGCTTGTCTTGCTTCTGACCGGTTCCTGATGCTGCGATATAGCAGCAAAATGGCTCCTGAGCAGCTCGAGGGGGGGTCCGTTCCCCGCAGCAGTGACTCTGCTGCGTCCTTTCCAGCTGTACGCGTGCCGGGCAGGCAGGGTGTGAGCTTGCGCTTTCCCCTCTCATTCTTTCCTTTCTCACTACCAGGAGGACTTCGACTCGGAGCAGTTATCAGTGCTCGCATCCTGCCTCCAGGAGCTATTTAAGGCTCACTTCCGTGGTGAGGTTTTGCCAGAAGAAATCACGGAGGAGTAAGAATCTATTTTTTTTGTTTTTTCTTTTTTTTTTTTTTTCCGTCTCATCCTTTGACACTGGGACTTGGGCTTTTCCCAGTAAAATATTCGACGTTTTTTGGAAGGCTGTGCTGAAGCCAACAGCTTCCCCTGTGAAGCAATCCAGGGTTCACCAGCGGTCAGCGCGGAGCTGGTCAACGCTTATATCCAGGGTTCGAAAGAGACCGTCTTCCTCCTCCCCACAAGTGTGGAGAGAACCTGCTGCCGCAGATCTTTGTGTCAGAGCTCAGTTTAGGTGATTCTCTGGTGGCTTCTGACTCTCTGACCAGGACACACAGGTCCTAAATACTCCGTGCGTCCCT